GCCACTCATTTTATAGAGGGCAATGAAGAACGGCAAGGATCTGAGGGCAGATCAGACTCAGGTTTTAGTCCTGTCCCTCCACTGACCGCCTCAGCCTTTGTGAACTCATCTGCAGTAGAAGCAGAGCTCGTGAAAGATTAACGAGAACTAAGTCATTGCGAGGGAAGAGAAATGTCAGCACCTCTCCGAAGGCCCCCCAGGCAGCCCAGCCCTTGGTTTTCATGTTTGAGCTGAGATGATGTGTTATTAGCCACTGTCCTTGTGCTGTCTTCTTGTTTGTGACCATAAAGGTTATCCTGCGGCAGAGAGAGGTGGGACTGATACAGAATGACCACTTAATGACAGTTTTCAGTTTGTTGAGCCAACTGGAGTGGACAGAGCAGAAATAATGCCCGGGTTGAAAGTTAATAGCGTAGCCTGCCCAATTATTTGCCGGAAAAAAATGCCTACTCTGTTGCCACAGACACCAAGCAAAACCAACCTACTGCTCAGGCCAGTTGCTCAGAAGGCATCACATGCTAATCTCAAGTCTGTTCATCTAAACCACTGTAAGTAAGTCAGGACAAATGATGTATGTGGTTTTGGGGGTTGGTTTTATTTATGTATTTATTCATTTATTTATTTTTGGATACTGCTGTTTTGAACTATAAATCATTGCTGCCGCTCCCCCATCTGTAATCTGCTTTGGCTAAACCATGTTGAAACATTTCTGGAGTTTGTTTTGCATTGGTGCTTATCAGAGCTCCTTACTGTAGGATTGGGGCTTGAGGCAAAGAGAAGGGGAAAAAACCACCAAACCTGCAATGAAAGCCCTTTGCCTCCCTTTTCCACCTCCAACTTTCCCCTCCTGTCTCCACAAGACCTGCCAAGGACACATTTTACAGAAAAGCGTGTGGTTCTAGTAAGAATGAAGAGACTTGCAGGCATCAAAATGGGTTCTTGGATTGTTCCTGTCATATGGTCACATTTCTAGTGTGTGTGTGAGTGTGTGTGTCTGTGTGTGTGTAAGTATGTGTGTGTCTATATATAGTATATATATACAGTTTACATATGTATGCTATATATACAGTATACTGTATATATACTAGAGACACACACATATATATATTTTCATATATAAACATGTATATATAAATATATAAACATATATATACTTGTATGTATATAGAAATATATGTGTATATGTTATATGTATATATGTATATGTCATATATAGTATTTATTTCATATATATTTTAAAATATGTATGTAATATGTATTATGCATACATAATATATAAAATATATTTACATATGAAATATTTTTAATGCATACATATGTATATATGTGTGTATATAAATATTTTTATATTAAAAAATATATATTTTTTCCCCATGGGGTAAAGGGAAGGCAGTGATAGGCAAGGAAAGACTGGAATTTTACCTCTGGGAATAAATCACACCATTTGAAAGCCTTAAGGTAAATGCTTTTCTTTTCCATTACTAAGAACAGAAATAAAAATATCAGTTCATTAGCAGGATCAGAAGTGTTGGATGTTTTTCAGAAGAGAAACAACAATCATAGCTAATGCTTATGGAATATGTACCAGGTGCCCGGATTTCTGCCAAACCCTCAAAAGAGTTATCTCATTTAGTCTTGTTGACAACCATTTGAAATAAGAGCCACTGTTCTTTATCTTTTCACAGTGGGAGGACCTGGTTGTGTAAAGAGGTTAAGTAACTTTACCCTGGCACTGTGAGCAACTGGGATTTAGCCAAACAGCCTGGCTTCAGCACCTGGACCAGGGAGCTCTAGAATTAAGGCTCTGGTTTCTATCCAGCTGACTGATGTTGGGGAGAATATTTTTAAGGCCCCGACTTGCTCACCTGTAAACATAAAGGGGTTGTGATGGGTGATCTCAAAGATCCCCACCAACTCTCTAGCGGCTCATCAGATTAATATCCAAATCAATATCCATCGCATCCAGGGCACTGTTGCTGTTCATGCCTATAGTTCACTACAGGAAGGTAAGGGGTGCAGTGGAACAGAGAGGAGGTAGGGAAATGGCTGCATTCTGTCCCCAATGTTTTCCTAACAGGAGCAGCTGTTCAATTGCCACAAGCCCAGGCAGGTAGGATTGCTAGGTGACTGCAGGAGTGAGATAGGAGCAGGGCCCACTCTTAACACACCTCACGTGGCTGCCACAGTTGATCTTTTAGTTGAACCAGTTACTTTCTCCCTTGGAAGTGTCCTTACCGTCCACATCAATCCCCAATGCACTTCACATTGGTTGTGAGATGGCTTGCAGCCATGCTAACCGGTGAACTCTGAGAACCATCTGTAATGCGACCAGACCTGCTCTTCCTGGTTTGCCTAAATTATACTGACCGATACTTCCAGGAATTTTGCTGCAGTCCTGATGCTTTTTTTCTTTCTTCAGAAAAGGAAGTTGGAGGGGGGTTGGGTTGAAAGGAGAATGAGAATCCTTTAAGTTCTTTGAAATGACCTCAAATCTGAGGTCGTCAGGCTTTTAAAGAGAGCCAGTAGGTTAGCCACTCCACATATTGCAGATAATACTATGTCAACAGCTTATGTTATCCGAAGCTCTCTTTGTGAAATGGGAACCAACTTTTGCTCCCTGGGAACACTAACAATCACATTTCTCTCCAGCGTGCAAACTTAGGTGTGTTTGCTTCATTATATGATAGCAACACCAAATCTTTCATATGAAATGTCACTCCTAGGTTCCATCTGCCCTCATGTCGTGCCTCTGCTCCCAAGAATATAATTCATGGTTCCCTCTTCCCATAGTCACTCGTGTGTGTGTGTGTGTGTGTGTGTGTGTACTATATTCTGACACATCATTAGAATCCAAGTTAATCTACCTTACCAAATACTTTTCTGTCACTGATAATCTTCTATTTAGATATGTTACAAATGTATCTTTTTAAATCGTATTTTTTTAAAAACGGAATCTTGCTCTATTGCCCAGGCTGGAGTGCAATGGCGCCATCTCGGCTCACCACAACCTCTGCCTCCTGGGTTCAAGCGATTCTCCTGCCTCAGCCTCCCAAGTAGCTGGGATTACAGGCATGTGTCACCACGCCTGGCTAATTTTTGTATTTTTAGTAGGGTTGGGGTTCCACCATCTTGGCCAGGCTAGTCTTAAACTCCTGATCTCGTGATCTGTTCACCTCAGCCTCCCAAAGTGCTGAGATTGATTGCAGGCATGAGCCACTGCTCCCAGCCTTTAAATAATTTTTGGGAGAGTCAGGGTCTCACTGTTGCCCAGGCTGGAGTGCAGTGCTGCGATCATAGCTCACTACAGCCTTGACCACCTCGGCTCAAGCAATCCTCCCACCTCAACCTCCTGAGTAACTGGGACTACACGTGAGCCACCATGCCTGGCACACATGCATTTTTCATTATCCATGTCTGCATGTTCCCAGGGGTAGAGATAACACTACAATGAAAAGAGGTGGCAGAGAACAGGAAGAGAAATAAACCAGAGGAGCCAATATCCTTAAATGCTGTGGCTTCCAAGGACTGCTGGCAGGTTGTGGGACTAGCCAGAAAAAATAGAGCCTCTGATTCTAGAAGGCTTGGAGAAAGCGTGAGAAGAGAAGGGAGATCAGATCGGAATAGATTGATGGAAGGAGGGCGGTGAGGGGGAAGCAAGAGAAACTCAGCTCGAGTGAAAAGGACCCGTCATTCCTTTCCAGAACGTAATTTGCCAAGATCCACCACTTGCATTTCATATGTAAATGAGAGGCTTCCCGGAGGCTGGGCTGGGCTTGGCTTAGCTGAGTCTCTGCAAACAGCAGGGATTCAGCCCTGGGGAACTGCAGACCTAAGTGTGAGAGGAAAGCACTGCATCTCCAGGCACATCCCACAAAAAAGATGGACGAGACACTGTAGAGGAGGATGCAGGAGGATTAAAACATTCGGGAAAAGCTAGCCAGCCCTCTGGAGAAGCTGTCGAAATTCGAGACTGGCAAGAGAAGTAAATTCAACCTCTCACACTGATCATTTCTCATTCACTGAAAAGAAGCGATTCCTTCCCCAGGGAAGTGAAGATAATGAACTTTTGGAGGTACTGCTTTCTTGCTTGTACTCTGCTCAGTGTGGTCATTTTTGTGAGATTTTACAATAGCCATTTGAGCCCGCCAAAAAGTTATGAGAAGCTGAAGAGTTCCAGTGGAAGGTATTTCAGGAAAAATGCCTGTAATCACGCCTTAGAGGAAAAACCCATCTTTTTGTGGGAAAACATATTACCATCACCTTCACGAAGTATCCCTTGCGAGGTTTACCTGACCCAGAATCACTACATCACAAGTCCCCTGTCAGAAGAAGAGGCTGCATTCCCTTTGGCCTATATCATGGTCATCCATAAGGACTTTGATACCTTTGAAAGGCTCTTTAGGGCTATCTATATGCCCCAGAATGTCTACTGTGTTCACGTGGATGAGAAAGCCCCAGCTGAGTTCAAGCAATCTGTGAGGCAGTTACTGAGTTGCTTCCAAAATGCTTTCATTGCTTCAAAGACAGAGTCTGTGGTTTATGCAGGAATTTCCAGGCTCCAGGCTGACCTGAACTGTCTGAAAGATCTTGTCACCTCTGAGGTTCCCTGGAAGTACGTCATCAACACCTGTGGACAAGACTTCCCCCTGAAAACCAACCGGGAGATAGTTCAGCATCTGAAAGGATTTAAAGGGAAAAATATCACCCCCGGGGTGCTACCCCCTGATCATGCAATTGAGCGAACTAAATATGTCCACCAGGAGCATACAGGTAAAGGTGGCTCATTTGTGAAAAAGACTAATATTTTGAAAACCTCACCTCCACATCAGCTGACTATCTACTTCGGCACTGCCTATGTGGCGCTTACCAGAGAGTTTGTCGACTTCATTCTCCATGACAAAAGGGCCATTGATCTACTACAATGGTCAAAAGATACCTACAGTCCTGATGAGCATTTCTGGGTGACACTCAATAGGATTTCCGGTAGGTACTAATTTCCATTCTCATTTCTTCTCGTTGATGGATTGAGTTTGCTAACATTCTGCTCTCCCTAGAGAATTGACTAGTGCAATTATTATGAAATAAATTTAAATACTCAGACAACCATTAGTTTAGTTGCTTGTAGTGACAGTGTATTGTTGACTCTGTTGTCTTAGAAGTATGCGTGATATAGTCATCCAAGAAATGCTGGGTTGCAGTTGTCCCAGCGAAACTAACTTTGATTACGTAGTTGCTGAATTTTAACTGTTTTTTGAATTAATACTTTTCATAGTCCTTGACAAACACAGCTGTAACATAACAAAATTGACATTTAACATAAACATTCTAGAACGTATGAGTTGAAATAGGTGGTGTTTCTCTCATTTCCCCTTGATGCAGTCCCACTGCTCAAAGTTCATGGAGCTGTTACAGGGGTACTGGTTTTAGGATCTTGGGAGCTGCTTTGGATGTTCACACATCATCATTCTGGCTGAAATATCTCCAGTTTAAGATCGGAACATGTAGCCAGGTCTCAGCTCTTCTCAGTTCTACAAATCTAGCCTGATATTTTAGCCCGGAGGAGCAGGTAACAATGAGTTGAAACATAGGGAGAGAGAATTTAGCTAAAGATGATCCAAAGAGAATTCTCAATTTTTAAGTCATAGGTTTTTATTGGAAATTCCAGTGTGCAGTCTCTTGTTTTTATATACTGTGAAGTCTTCGGTTGTTTATGATGATTTGGGAAGGCGTCCAACGTATGCCAGGCAGCTGAGGCAGAAAATAGCATCAGGCTCCCGCTTTGGTTCAGGACTGGGTTTCTTTTCTAAACTCTGTTTCCCATAGGTGGTCTGTGACCTGCATTTCATTTTTCCCGTGTGTCCTCATGTGCTTGTTTTCAGCAGCGACCCAGCATGGTTGTGGGTGTCGGTCCTGTGTGAGGATGGCCTTATGCCTGCCATTCTTGAAATAACTCCCGGCTCTTCTGTCTAGTGTCCTTATCCGTCACACACTTTCAAGTGCTGCTTGAAGCCACCTAATGCCTGAAAGTAGACTTAATGCAGAAAAGCCCCCAATAACACAGCATTCCTAAGAGCTAAACTAGAGTGGTGGTCACAAAAATCTACTTAAAGAGGGACAGAAAGAGGATGGGCAAGGTGGCTGGAGACAAGAAAATTATGCTGTCCCATGAGCAGTTTATTTCCAGAGCTGCTGAACTGTTAGGCCACAAAGACTTGTAGGACGGGGAGTGAACTAACATTTATCCTAGCGGTGTGAGTGTTAACCCTTTATTTACAATCGCCTATTTTAAACACACATAAACATTGCATGCATGGCATTTAATCTTATTTTTGTTAGTATGGTTGGTGCCAGATAAGTGGTAGCCTCGTGTACAGATGAAGAACATGAGGCTTAGAGAGACTGAAGCACTATTGTGTCGACGCTGTTCACATAGCGTTTCTTGGCAAAGCTGGTATCTGACTCTGCATTTGTGTAGACTGAAGTTTGGACACAAACTTCTCTTGCACCAGGAAGAGAAGGAATGACCATTTCTTTTTTCCTGTATATCTAAAGAAAATTTCCTGCAGAATCCCGAAAAGGGGAAAGGATGAAGGTGTTCAGAAAAAATGAGGAGGGTTGTGAAAGGAAGTTTCACCTGAATGACTTAGAGCTGGAGATGAGGTTAGCAGGGATAAGGAGTGTGTGTGGGATGTACGTGGTGTGTGTCTATGTGTGTGGTGTGTATGTGTGGTGTCTATGTGTGGTATATGTGCATGGTGTGCATATCGTGTGTATATGTGTGTGGTGTGTGTGTAGTGTATGTGTCTGGTGTGTGTATGTGTGTGGGGAGTGTTTTGTGTGTGTTTGTAGTGTGTGGGTATGTGTGGTGTAGTTATATGGTGTGTGTGTGTGTCTGTCTGTGTAGATAGCAAGTATGTGAGGCTTGTCAAGGTCACTGTGCTCATGAGAGTCACCAGGTGTCCTTTCTCCAAAGCCACTATCCCTCACAGGCATCTGTGCTGTGTGCTGGGTGCATCTGGAGCAGACTTTGTTCTGGGCCAGTGGCAATGGGAAGTGGCCCTTGGTTGATGTTCTCGGAGAAGCTGGGGAGTAAGAAGGAATCAGGCAGATTTGAATGGCTGAGTATTAAGTTTTAGTGACTTTTTCTGATGAGTATATTGAGCTAATTTTTCCTCACCTCAGCCACTTGCAAAAAAAATTTTTCCTGAATATGTCAATTTTTTTTTTTTTTGGCCTGGCTGTATGGCTCACACCTATAATCACAGTACTTTGGGAGGCTGGGGTGTGTGGATCACCTTAGGTCAGTAGTTTGAGACCAGCCTGGTCAACATGGCAAAACCGCGTATCTACTAAAAATACAAAAATTAGCTGGACATGGTGATGTGCGCCTGTGGTCCCAGCTACTTGGGAGGCTGAGGCAGGAGAATCACTTGAACCCAAGAGGTGGAAGTTGCAGTGAGCCAAGATCGAACCATTGCACTCCAGCCTAGGTGACAGCAAGACTTCATCTCAAAAAAATAAATAAAATAAAATCAAAAGTTTAAACTTTTTAAAGTTAGCTTTTAAAAAACAATAGGAAATATATTTTAAAGGTCTCAAAATTTTAAAGTTTCCCCTCTGTCAGCTACCACTGTTCATACTTCCTTGTTCATCCTTCCAGAGGTACTTTATTATGTGTATAGACAAGAAAACTAATTAAACATGTAGAGAACATTACATATGGACTTTGAGTTCGCTACGGTTATACTCAGAAAAGAAAAAACGGTCCTTATTTTAGGTGCCATATTGTCTGAGAAACAAAATACAGCAAGATGTGTTCTTTAAATAGATCAAATGCAGATATTTAAGAAACTCTTTTTTCATTATGTTGAAGCAGTTTTAAAGCTAGATATGAGGAACTTTCTGGAATGAAGTTATTTGCCCCGCAGCATCCAACCGCAATGAATGTGCAGAATTCTCACTGGTAGAACACCTGCTGTTCCCCCAGGCTTTACAATGGCTTCTCCTTACCTTTTTTTTTTTTTTTGAGACAGACTCTCGCTCTGTCCTCCATGCTGGAGTGCAATGGCGCGATCTCGGCTCACTGCAACTTCCACCTCCCAGGTTCAAGCAATTCTCCTGCCTTACCCTCCCAAGTAGCTGGGATTACAAGCAGATGCCACTACACCTGGCTTATTTTTGTATTTTTAGTAGAGACGGGGTTTCACCAAGTTGGCCAGGCTGGTCTTGAACTCCCGACCTCGTGATTTGCCCACCTAGGCCTCCCAAAAGTGCTGGGATTACAGGTGTGAGATACCACTACTGCCCTGGCTTCTCCTGATTTTAAGGGACCTTTTAGACTTGGCCAGACAAGGTGGCTCACTCCCACAATTCCAGCACTTTAGCAGGCTGAGGCAGGAGGACTGCCTGTGGCCTGGAGTTCGAGTCCAGCCTGGCCAACATACTGAGATCCTCGTCCCTACAAAAAATTTAAAAATTAGCTGGGCGTAATGGTGCATGCCTGTGGTCCCAGCTACTCAGGAGGCTGGGGAAGGAGGATTGCTTGAGCCTGAGAAGTCAAAGCTGCAGTGAGCATGACTGCACCACACCACTGCAGTCCAGACTGGGTGACAGAGTGAGAATCTGTCTCAAAAAAAAAAAGGCCAGGCTTAAGCTCTTCATGTGACATGACTTCCAAGACCTGGCCCTCCACCCTCTCTGTCTCTACCCTCATTTCTTTTTATTTGATGCCTCCTACTTCATGTACCAGCAACTACTTGGTCCTACACATATCAGCAATTTTCATCTATTTTTTTTTATGGCTTTTTATGACATCCTCTCATAAAGAATGCCTTTCCTACCATCTCTGTCTAACTCTTCATCTTTATGGCCCACCTTGGAAGTCATTTCCTCTGGAAGTCTTGTCTGATCACCACCCTCCCAGATGTGTTTCAACTCTAGGGTCTCCTTGACCTAATGCCACTGGCTGCCAGCATTGAATTGTGGTCACCTATTAGCTGAGTAGCTCTTCTACCGAACCTCCTCAGTATTTCAGCTCCTCAAGCGTGAGAAAAGTGACATCTGTCTATGTTCACCACTACTCCTGTGCTGCATGAATAACTGTGCACCTGCTTGATCTGACAATATGCGGGGTGCCGGATGGGTATGGGAGGACCTGGGGAGGAGCAGGAATATGCTGGAGAATTCCAAGAAGATGCGTGGAACAAAAGTGTACCCTGTACCTTGGGATACACTGTTGAGGGATAATTCTTGGTAGTAAAGATTAGAGAAACAGTAGGTAAAAGTCCACAACAGCCAGGCCAACCAATGATATCGGTAAATATGAGAGAGTCCCGAGAGAATTAGCAAGCCTCATTTTACTCCAGATAAAATGTTAATGGGATAGATCCCTTCCTTAGAAAATCTGGCTCCCACACAGCCAACCTGGGTCCATGATGGAGTCGGATTCTGATGCCAAGAGAAAGCTGTGGCAGGCGGTGCATGCGGACGCCCCCACTCAGTTTCTGCCTCACTTGCACCTGGTGTGAGTTTCCTCCACACCTGCCACCCACTCCCACCTCCTGCTAGTACCACTCCCGGGCTACTCACATTCATGCACTGAGCGTCTTCTAACTTAATTTGATCTAGACTTCTCCCGAATGTCTGGCTTAGGGAAAAATCCAATAGGAGAGGTTTAACAAAGAAACTCCAAACATCTCTCCAGCTCTCAACAACTGTAAACACTGAGCTATTTAGAAGGTATGTGTTCTCGGCCTAAAGGTTACCAGGGCCTTAAATCTGCGTGTGGCTGGATCAGTCCCAGTCTTTTTCAAAGTATGTATTGTGTTCTCTGTGCATCGACTTTGAATTCAGTTTCTAGGGCCATAAAGGATGCATTCACTCATGCCGACTGAATTGGTGACTGAGAGTTATAAACATTGAATGACAGGGTAGAATCATGTCTTAACAAACGTCACCAGGACATTCGAGTCTACAATAATGCTATCTTTGGGGGCCGGAGGAAAATCCACACTGGCATTTGTCTTTTCAATATGGAGATAAACTCTGGCTGAAGGAGAAATTCCGCAAAACAGATACTTCCATAGGTTCATATCCACAGAACAAGAGTTTTAAAATAATATTTTTGGATAGCCAGATAATATTAAGTATGCATAAGGAATTTGAACGTGATTTTCAAAATACTGAATTAGTGATGTGGGCCTGTTCGGCTTATTTAACCTCTTCGGTAAAGGGCTCTAGGTTCTTTTCAGGTCAGTAATTCAGGTAGGATCACAGGGGAAGATTTTAATTTACAGTGTGTCCCTGCTCTTGAGTACCTAGACTGATGAGTCTGCATCATAGGATGCTGAGCTCCTGGAAGAGAAACCTTAGGCAGGTTATAAAGTATTTATACGATAAGCTATGCTGACGCTATGGCCATTTGTAGAATCATTTGTGATGTTTCCAGCCACTGGCTCCACTGTACTGTTTGGGAAGGATCATTTCCTTCATTGGGGAATCTGTACCCTAACATTTCTGTCCCCTACCCCTAAAAAGGACATAATTGGGAAATGCTACTATTAATTACCTCTTAATTCCTAATATCTAGAACAACATTTTATAAAATAAGAAAAATTGGATTAAAGTACATATTAGTGTAAAGTATATTTAAAGTGAAAATTCAATTAGGTATAAGTATAATCATGACTGGTAAGCACCCACTAAGCTGAATTAACATGAATTTAATTCTGGCACAAAGGATTATTAACATCCTTTCCACTGCTTCAGTGCTGGCAAGTTCATTTTTCCAACTCATTCAACTTTCTCTCATTCCTTACCAATTGTATAAGATGACTTTTTCTAGAAACAGCAGTTGTTTTTGTTTTTGTTTCATTTTGTTTTGAGATAGGGTCTCCCTCTGTCACCCAGGCTGGAGTGCAATGGCAGTAATTCTCTCTGGCACCCAGGCTGGAGTGCAATGGCACTCACTGCAGCCTCATCCTTCTGGGCTCAAGTGGTCCTCCTGCCTCAGGCTGCCAAGTAGCAAGGACTACAGGCATGCACTACTATACCTGGCTCATTTTTAAATTTTTTGTAGGCTGGGCGAAGTGGCTCACTCCTGTAATCCCAGCACTTTGGGAGGCTGAGGCAGGCGGATCACGAGGTCAAGAGATCGAGACCATCCTGGCCAACATGGTGAAACCCCCATTTCTACTAAAAACACAAAAAAATTAGCCGGGCACAGTGGTAGGCTCCTGTAGTCCCAACTACTCAGGAGGCTGAGGCAGTAGAATTGCTTGAACCCGGGAGGCAGAGGTGCAGTGAGCCAAGATCTCACCATTGCACTCCAGACTGGTGACAGAGTGACACTTTGTCTCAAAAGAAAAAAAAAAATTGTAGAGATGGGATCTCAATATGTTGCCCAGGCTAGTATCCAACTCTGGGGCTAAATTGATTCTCCCCTCAGCCTTCCACAAGTGCTGAGATTACAGGTGTGAGCCATCGCACCTAGACACTTTGTTTTAAACAAAGTATTGCATTTCAATGGCTCTTAAAAACAGTAAAATATTCTATGTGTATCAAAGCTATATATAATTAATATATGTATATGTCAATGTACATAGTACAATGTAACAGTACATATACATATGTCAATATATATGCAACATCTAAATTATCTCTCCAAAATATTTCTACCCTATTTCTCTTTACACAATACAAAAACATCTCCTTCCATCCTTCTTTGGTTGAGTTCATATGATATTGGGAAAGCGACTTTGGAGACAGACAAACATAGTATAAGTCTGTCTTCCCAATATTTGCTAACTGGTGACACTGCTGTTAATTTATGCTGAGCCTTAGTTTACTCATCTGTGATGATGGCGATAATAGTGCTTAGTTCCTAGAGAAGTTATCAGTATTAAATAGGCTAGTACATATAGTACAGGGATCCTAGACTTGACCATGCGTCAGAATCTTCTGCAGGGCGTGTTAAAGCACAGATTTTTTTTTTTTTTTGAGACGGAGTTTCGCTGTTGTTACCCAGACTGGAGTGCAATGGCACGATCTCGGCTCACCGCAACCTCTGCCTCCTGGGTTCAAGCAAATCTCCTGCCTCAGCCTCCCGAGTAGCTGGGACTACAGGCGCGCACCATCATGCCCAGCTAATTTTTGTATTTTTAGTAGAGACGGGGTTTCACCTTGTTGACCAGGATGGTCTCAATTTCTTGACCTCGTGATCCACCTGCCTCGGCCTCCCAAAGTGCTGGGATTATAGGTGTGAGCCACCACTCCAGGCCTAAAGCACGGATTTTTGAGCCCTACCCTGAAGTTTCTGATTCAGCAGGTCTGGAGCAGTCCCCAGATTCTGTATTTCTAACAACTTCCTGGGTTATACTGAGGCTTCTCATCTGGGGGCTACACTTTGAGAACTGCTGACACGGACCGTCCTTTACAGAGGCTGGCACATGTATAGCTTTGCAGCAAATGCCGATTTTGTTCACTTCCAACCACGAGTAAAAATAAAGACAAGTTGATATAAGCAACAGCTTAATGGTGTTGATCACATATGGCAGACTTCATGAAAGTGGTATGCAAATGACTGATGTTTGGGAAGGACTCATATTGGGGAACTATTATGGGCCTTGGAGTGAGACAAACCCAATGATGAATTTTAGCTTTATGTCCGTTCGTTTTATGACCTTGTGTACCCTAAACCTAAAACTCTTCATTTTGTAGTCATGATAATGATGGCTACTTAGTAAGGCTGTTTTGAGAATTAAATTTTTAAAATGGGGTAAAATGACATGTTAAGTATTTATCCACTTACTAATATGAACATATATTAAGAAAAACCTAAATGTGGTCTAGTATTCCTATACTAACAAGAGCCTCAAGGTGTTGAATAAAAACAGTTTAAATCTCAGTAGAGAAGGATGTCCAGGCCATGACTCACCAACCATATGAAAACATATAGATATACCCAAAGATGGATAGGAGGAAATGTGGGAAACTTTAAGCAAATTGACATGTGCAGATGGAGATCTGTTTTTGTTTGTTTGTTTGTTTGCTTGTTCGTTTCTGAGACAGGGTCTCTGCTCTGTTTCCCAGGCTGGAGTGCCAGTGGTACCATCACAGCTCACTGTAGCCTCAACTTCCCAGGCTCACGTGATCCTCCCACCTCAGCCTCCCTAGTAGCTGGAACTATAATCATCTCTCTCCATGCCCCATTAATTTTAAATTTTTTGTAGAGATGGGGTTTCACTGTGTTGCCCAGACTGGGATATCTGTTCTTGATCATTTTGATTTCCATTAGTGTTATTGTCATAAGTTTTATGACCACCAAAACGCTTCACTTACCCCTTATGTAACACTGTGAAGTACATATTATCCATTAGAAGAGCGTTTCCTTAAAAACATGGGGGATGTCAATAGTATCTATTTTTGAGATCAGTCGTATCACCAGAAAGGAGCAGGAATTGGGTTAAATTGGTGGCTTTATTTTCTTAAGCTACACCGTGTTCCAGACGGGACTTAAGATGTCTGTTTAGAACATAATACAATTTCTTGGAAATCAACAAAGCCAAGACTTGGAAAAAAATGAAAGCCTTTTCACAATTATTCTATACAGGTTTTGGCTGGCCTTGCATGGGAGTAATTTTTAAACTCTAATAGGAAAACTTATCAACACACACAACAGTGCAGAGAATAGTACTGTAATCCTCATGCGCTCATCAGCTGGTTTCAACAATCGTCAACTTGTTATGCAAACTCAAAGCAAAAAAACTTAACATTTATGACAAATCTCAGAATCGACTCTATAATTCTCAGAAATGAGTAGCTTCCTCTTTTCAAAGAAAATGCAAAATTCTGATATTCCAGACTGAGGCTTTTTCCTCATCCCATAATAACAGTTCACTGAAAAGTGAAAATATTTTCATCCAACTTCAGCTTTTAGGATATACTACCTGAACCAGACTGAATTGTCTTTTTCTTTGTTTTTCAGCTACAAAGTTGAATCTACAAGCACAAGCTCTTAGACATTCAAAGTAAGAGGCAGAACGTGGCTTGTTAAGATTTCCATTCTCTTGGCCTTCCTTTTCCTGGAGGAAAAATGGAAGGAGTATGATATTAAGAGTAGGAAATTGGCTAGTGGGGCACACTGTTTCCTGTGTACCCTCTAGCCATTAAGGGTTCCTTGTTTTCGTCTCTTCTCCAGACTGAATATTCCACTTCCTCTATTAAAAAAAAAAAAAAGACAATGAGTCCAAAGTATGTGTGACTATAGAATTGATAAGAAGATATTTTGCCTTCAGCCAAATCTGAATGTATTTTCCATTACTATGTATTCTCACAGAGGCTTCTTTATGAGAGTCAATATTCTGGTGATTTTTCACATCGGTGATTTAATTTGAGGTACCCAGTTATTAAGCCTTGTTACTTTGCATGGGGACTTTGACCTTGCAGGGTGATGTGGATGAGAGAACACGAACTTTGGAATAGGACAGATCTTTTGACTCTTGGCCTTGCCATTTAACAGCTTGTCAATCACTGAACAAGTTGTTTAACCAACCTGAGCCTCAGTTAATTTTGGTTTTAGGACATTAAAGAAAGTTTTCAAGGTGTTTGAGAATTTATTAGAAAGTAGGAACTGCCTTTTTTTTTTTTTTTGAGACACAGTCTTACTCTGTTACCCAGGCTGGAATGCAGTGGCATGATCTCGGCTCACTGCAACCTCTGCCTCCTGGGCTCAAGCAATTCTTGTCCCTCAGCCTTCCAAGTAGCTGGGACTACAGGTGTAGTGCTACCATGCCTGGCTAATTTTTATATTTTTAGGCGCGACAGGGTTTTGCTGTGTTGCCCAGGCTGGTTTTGAACTCCTGAGCTCAGGCAATCCTCTTGCCTCAGCCTCCCAAAGTGCTGGGATGATAGGTGTGATCCATCACACCTGGCCAGGAATTGTCTTTTTTTTTTTTGAGACAGTCTTGCTTTGTCACCCAGGCTGGAGTTTAGTGGCGCAATCTCAGCTCACTGCAACCTCCGCCTCCTGTGTTCAAGCAATTCTCCTGCCTCAACCTCCCAAGTAGCTGGAACTACAGGCACGTGCCACCACACCTGGCTAATTTTTTCTATTTTTAGTAGAGATGGGGTTCGCTGTCTTAGCCAGGCTTGTGTCGAACTCCTGACCTCGTGATCTGCCCGCCTCGGCTTCCCAAAGTGTTGGGATTACAGGCAAGAGCCATCGTGCCTGGCCCAGGTATTGTCTTAACTCAACTTCCACCCCATAAAATATATCTGGAATTGGTCTGGAGACAGTCTCACAGCAATGGCTATAACTTACTAACATTTCTTTTCAAAGATGTTTATAAAAGGACCAGAAGAATCTCTGGGTGGCTCCAAGGATTATGAGGGGTTTTTCTTGTTATAGTTTTGATTTTTTGTTAGAGATGGGGTCTCACTGTGTCGTCCAGGCTGGTCTTGAACTCCTGGGCTCAAGCAATCCTCCCACCTTGGCCTCCCAAATTTCTGGGATTATAGGTGTGAGCCACCACACCGGCCAGGATATGAGTATGGATGACCCCAGAAGACACTAAGAATTGGAACAGTAGCTCACGAACTTTGACTTTTTAAACACTTCACACTGCACAGCTAAGAATGGTAGAATACTGGCTTCCATCTTCTGCCTGGTGTGGGGTGAGTGGTCCCCGATGGGCCGGGATACCGCATCCGCAGGAAGAGGCGCAGGGTGCAGGCTTTAAAACATATAACATAAAAATGGCTTCCAAAAGAGCTCTGGTCATCCTGGCTAAAGGAACAGAGGAAATGGAGATGATCATCCCTGTAGATGTCACGAGGCGAGCTGGGATTGAGGTCACCGTTGCAGGTCTGGCTGGAAAAGATCCAGTACAATGTAGCTGTGATGTTGTCACTTGTGCTGATGCCAGTATTGAAGATGGAAAAAAAGAGGGACCCTAGGCCTGGATGACCTGGTGGTTCTACCAGGAGGTAATCTGGGTGCGCAGAGTTTATCTGAGTCTCCTGTGGTGAAGGAGATACTGAACAAGCAGGAAAACTGGAAGCGCCTTAGAGCCGCCATCTGCGTAGGTCCCACTGCTCTGTTGGCTCAAGAAATAGGTTTTGGAAGTAAAGTTACAACATACTTGCTTGCTAAAGACAAAATGATGAATTGGGGTCATTACACCTACTCTGAGAATTGAGTGGAAAAGGATGGCCTGATTCTTACAGCCGGGGGCCTGGGACCAGCTTCAAGTTTGCACTTGCAATTGTTGAAGCCCTGAGCGGTAGGGAGGTGGCGGCTCGGGTGAAGGCTCCACTTGTTCTTAAAGACTAGAGAGGCAAAATATGATGATCTCTTAGAGAAACAGTCCATTAGGAATTCATTATCACTGTGAATGTGTTCAGAAGCTGCCGTTATTAAGGCGTTTGCAGTAGAGAGATTTCTCTCTTTTTTTGTTTTTTTTTGTTTTTTTGAGATGAAGTTTTGCTCTGCCGTCCAGGCTGGAGTGCAGTGGCGTGATTGCAGCTCAGTGTAACCTCCATCTCCCGGATTCAAGCGATTCTCCTGCCTCAGCCTTCAGAGTAGCTGGGACTAAAGGCACATGCCACCACGCCCAGCTAATTTTTGTATTTTTAGGTTTCACCATGTTGGCCAGGATGGTCTCTATCTCTTGACCTCCTGATCCGTCAGCCTCAGCCTCTCAAAGTGCTGGGATTACAGGCATGAGCCACGGCACCGGGGCAGAGATTTCTCAACCTACAGATTGTGTCTATGCATTTCTAAGCCTTGTTTGCAGAATAAACAGGGCATTTAGCAAACTGCTGGAAAAAAAAGAGCAGTAGAATACTAAGCAAATGGACAATAAGGATTACGAGCCATTTGTGAATGTTTTCTTTTTCTTTTTTAAGTGCTTTCAAGTGCTGTGTAAGAGAGGCTAGTGACCTAGATACCCGCACTACACAAATCTGTTCTAAGTTCTAGCCTTTGTCTCTAAATGGCTGTTTGACCTTGGGCATGTTACTTAACCTCTCTGGGCCTCGGTTTCCTCATCTATAAAATGAAGAAATTGGGCTAGGTGGTCTCAGAAGAGATTCCTGTATTTTGCTTTAACTCTGGAACATGTCGTGAAAAAAACAAAAGTATTAGAGGCTGACAGACTTAGGTTTTATTTACCTGCTGTCAGCCTAAGTTACGATAGGGTAATTGCTGTCAGATCTTGAGCAATTAACCTATCTTAACCTGGGCTTCAGATTACTCCTCTGTAAATGGAGGACGGTACCAGTTTCCTAAGACTGTTGTGAGAATTACAGACAATGGGGGTGTATCTCCCGGCTCAGCCATTGTTAGTTCTGTTATCACCTCTATCCCTCCCCCTTCTCCCTCTCTAGTATATTAATGTCACGACATTCCTGCTTATATTACACTGTGTTCTGTAGAATTCATGAAACAATGGCCTCTGGGCATCGAATTTCTCTCTTTGTCATGGTCACCGTGTCCACATCCGGATGCCAGCCACCACCACTGCCACGATTTAGATCTCAGGCCAGCCACCCTAGGCTGTGTGTGTGGGTGATTTCTGTGCTGTAAAATTCTGACCAACAGAGGAAACTGAGTAGCAAGTACTTACATAATATCTTCACCTCTCTGGTTGTTCTTAATATAGCACATTTCCCCTTGTTTCCAAGAGGTATTTTCTTGATGTGCACAAGGACAGGGAGCTGGACAAGGCTAGTGTCATATATTCAGTGTTGGGGAGGGAGGGGACCCTCAGGAGCCAGACCATTTGGGTTCAAATCCAGCTTTGCAGATTCCTAGTGTGTGTGACATGAAGCTAATTATGTTATCTCTCTGATTCTCAGTTTCTGTATTTGGAGAAATGTAGAGAAATAAACCCAGTTACTGTAAACAGCGATACTAACATTACCATTGTGTAAATGAAATGTATGAATACATATCAAATGCCAGGAATGGTGCATGGTGCCTAGTAAGTGTAAATAACTGTTAGTTGTATTTATTCCACCAATTGCCCTTGTTAAGGGGAAAATTAACAATGAACAATTTCTCCTTGTTAAGGGGCTAGGAAAAAATGCAATCCCCCAAAATGCTACTACAAAGGATCTGGACAATTTTCTCAAACTCAGACAAAAGCAGCTTGAATTCCCTCTGTCTGTCAGCAACCCATACTACCAGGGCTCATCCTGCAAGAGGAATGAGAGGAGCAGAGTAGCTAAGAATCTCGCATTAGTAAGTGTGACCAATTACACTGTGTGCACTATTCATAGGCGCGTCAGTTCATGTGCTGCAATGCTGGGAAACACAGGTAGCCAGGAAAATCTTAGGCCAGTGTTGACTGACTCTCAAAAAGAGAACACCTGGCTGGGTGCTGTGGCTCACCCCTGTAATCCCAGCACTTTGGGAGGCCGAGGCAGGTAGACCACCTGAGGTTGGGAGTTTGGGAGCAGCCTGACCAACATGGAGAAATCCCATCTCTACTAAAAATACAAAATTAGCCAGTTGCAGTGGGGCATGCCTGTAACCCTGGCTACTTGGGAGGCTGAGGCAGGAGAGGTTTCGGTGAGCCAAGATTGTGCCATTGCACTCCAGCCCGGGCAATAAGAGCAAAACTCCATCTCAGAAAAAAAGAACACTTGCAATTCCCAAATAATCTGACTCTTCTCTCTTCCTGCCTCAGTAAAATATGTGGTACTGTTTCCACCAGAATGAGGGGGCTCCTGAACCAGACTGAAACAGGAAGTTCCAGGGAGGGAAGCTTGCCCATCTCCCTATCAGCTCCCATCCACTGTATCCCAGTAGAGGCAAGAGCAGGAGAGTGTGTGCCATATGAATTAGACATGAGCCCATGTACCTTCAGAGTCTGCCAGTGGTCCCCAGGGAATTGAGAGCTATAGTAGAATGAAGAGGGTAGCTTCCCCTCTCTCCAAGGGTAGAGGGCTCACATCATGGCTTCTTATAGCTTACAATCTTGGACAAATCTTTTCCGTTCTCCACTTGGTTTTCTCAGCCAAGGAATGATAATAACTGCTAATCTCATGGTGGCAAGGGTGGGGAAGGCACATGCTGTGAGCCATGAATTACTAACTCTTTAATAACATGACTGATAGTTTCACTCCTGGTGCATGGAAAGAGAAAGGTTGTGGTGATGAAGTTTTTCTGAGTGGAAGATATGAAAGAAGTAGAAACTCAAGCTTCATTTTGTGAAGTGGAATGGGTAATTGTGTGCTAGGGTTGGAAGGGATACTCTCATCGTTTAAAATTAGAGAAACCAAGTGCAGGGCGACGAAATGATTTGTTCATGTTGCATGACTTAGCAGTTGAACTTGGCTATAAAGATGGGACTTTGGCCAGGTGCACAGGTTCACGCCTGTAATTCCAGCACTTTGGGAGGCCGAGGCAGGTGGATCGCAAGGTCAGGAGTTCAAGACCAGCCTGGCCAATATGGTAAAACCCTGCTTCTACTAAAAATACAAAAATTAGCTGAGCATGGTGGCGGGCACCTGTAGTCCCAGCTACTCAGGATGCTGAGGCAGGAGAATTGCCTGAACTTGGGAGGCAGAGAATACAGTGAGCTGAGATCACACCACTGATCTCCAGTTTGGGTAACAGAGCAAGACTCCATCTCAAAAAAAATAAAATAAAATAAAAAGATGGGACTTTTAAGTCCTTCAAGGCAGTAGTCTTTATATATTTAGTGCTTCTTATGATTTATTTCTGAAATGTCACAGATATCTGGGCAAAGGGGCAGTATGAATATTTTGGTATCTATACTAATATACTGAAATATGAGTTTTAATGACAGGACTCTTAAAATGTGTTCAGAATTTATGGAAGAAGATAGAGAATATTAATATTACTCATATAAAAGTCTTATAGGGTACTATCTAATACAGCTTTAAAAATGTATACACTTACCATGAAGGAGATCCATTCTGTTTTACATTGTTGTTGACTTTGAAGCAGCTTTTTTTTTTTTTTTTTTTGAGATAGATTCTCACTCAGTTGCCAGGCTGGAGTGCAGTGGTACAATCTCAGCTCACCGCAACCTCCACCTCCTGGGCTTGAGCTGTCCTCCTGCCTCAGCCTCCCGAGTAGTTGGAACCACAGGCGTGCACCACCATGCCCAGCCAATTTTTGTATTTTTAGTAGAGATGGGTTTCACCATGTTGGCCAGGATGGTCTTGATTCTTGACCTCAATCTGCCTGCCTCAGCCTCCCAGAGTGTTGGGATTACAGGCATGAGCCACTGTGCACGGCCTGTATGTTTTGATTTGTATACATACAGCTTATTCTCTTGAGTGTGCAGTTCCATGTGTTTTGACAGTGGCATAGAGTCACACATTCACCACCGCTATCAAGAACAATTCCATCAGTCCCAACATTCCCTCATGCTGCTGCTGGTAGTCTGCCCTAACCCCAGCATCCCCTGGCCAAATCCTGACCTGTTCTCCATCCCTGTTGTTGCCTTTTCCAGAACAACATACTCTATCTTTATCATAGAGTATGTATCCATTGGGGGCTAAAAAAGCAGCTGCTTATTCTTTTTTTCTATTAAATGAATGCCTTTTGTATGTGACAAGGTGATCATGAGAGTCTCTCATAGATCCTCTGGCAGTTTTATTTTTATTTATTGATTTGTGAGACAGAATCTCACTCTGTTATCCAGGCTGGAGTACAGTGGAACAATCTTGGCTTATTGCAGCCTCCACCTCCTGGGCTCAAGCAGTCCTCCCAGCTCAGCCTCCTCAGTACCTGGGTCTACAGGTGCATGCCACCACACCCAGTGAAATTTCTGTAGAAAAGGGGGGGTTTTGTCATGTTGCCCAGGCTGGTCTCGAACTACTGGACTCAAGCGATTCACCCACCTTGGCCTTCTGAGGTGCTGGGATTACGGGTGTGAGTCACTGTGCCCAGCCCTCTGGTAGTTTTAATATCTGTTGAGTATTGGTTTCTTTTACCCTGCTTTTCTCTGTCCATGTTATTTGTTTTCTCCATAAATAACAGAAGCAGTGGGCCTGTTATTTTTTTTTTAAGTAGGGCTATTTTTAGTAATAGTACTCCTTTGGAGTAATAAACCAAAAGTAAGCACAGGATTTAATTATGTAATCAAACCTGTGCTTTTATTACCTTTGATTTTTCTGTTTTTTTTTCTTTTGTTTGAGACGGAGTTTCGCTTTTTTGTTACCCAGCCTGGAGCGCAATGGCACGATCTCGGCTCACCAAAACCTCCGCCTCCTGGGTTCAGGCAATTCTCCTGCCTCAGCCTCCTGAGTAGCTGGGATTACAGGCACGTGCCACCATGCCCAGCTAATTTTTTGTATTTTTAGTATAGACGGGGTTTCACAGTGTTGACCAGGATGGTCTCGATCTCTTGACCTCGTCACCTGCCTCGACCTCCAAAGTGCTTGGATTATAGGCGTGAGCCACCACGCCCAGCCACCTTTGATTTTTCAATATCAGTGATTCAGAAGAAATGGTAGAAACACCATGAACTTAATTGGTAGAACAAGAACAACCAAAAGTGTGTCCCACTTTTAATTTGAAAACACATGTGACTGACTCACAAAACTTGCCATCAACCAATCAGATCATAAAAGGGTGTCATGGTGAGCATGTCACAACATCCCAACATGGTTCATCAGAATTCATACAGGAGAAGCTCTGTTTAGGTTTGCAGATGGCTCAGTGGTTTATTTTTTCCTATAAATTAAATATATTAGTTATTGGTTTTGATCTGAAGATGCCCATAATTCTGTTTCTAAAACATGCAAGTACTTAAAAGTAAAGCCAGCTAGGCACAGTGGCCCATGCCTGTAATCCCAGCACTTCGGGAGGCTGAGGCAGGTGGATCACCTGAGATCAGGAGTTTGAGACCAGCCGGGCCAACCTGGTGAAATGCTTTCTCTACTAAAAATACAAAAATTAGCTGGGTGTGGTGGCTGGCACCTGTAATCCCAGCTACTCAGGAGGCCGAGGCTTTTTAAAAAAGTAAATCCCCTAATGCCTGAAAACTGCATACTGAAAACTGCTACTACAGTCCCTAAATTGGCCCTGGGCAGAGGAGAGGGTAGGAAGGCAAGCCACTGGAGAGGTCGACATTTCCTTGAAGTCTCATGCTTTAGTTTACAAAGTTATTTAAATATTACATTTCTGTCTACTCTATGTTTGTAAACTTTTTATTGACATATAATACTACATACAGAAAACTGCACATATCAGAATTGAACAGATCACCGAATTTTTACATTGCTCTTATCTGTGTAAGCAGCCCAAGAAACCATGTTCCTGGTATTCCTAAAATCCCCCCCACCCACCAAAGGCTCTTTCCCAGACACTTCCAAGAGTAACAATGATCCCGAATTAGATGTGTGTGGTTTTGGGTCACTGTGTAACTTCTAACTGAAGCCCGGGGCTTTTCATCCAGATGTCTAGGTTAAATGGGTATTTCAGGAAGAGGTGCCAGGCCTCGGTTCCCTGTATTTCTGCATATTCTTTGTGGCCAGGGGATGGGGAGAGCTTCCCCAGCACATTAAAAGACTCTGTCTCCCATGTTTTTGCTTTTTAAAAAAGTTTATTTAGGTGTTTTTTTTCATATTTGAAGAATAACACTATAAACAGAACTACCCCACTAGTCTTTATAAAACATTAGGCTTGCAAGAGATAGGGACTTAATTCCCAGACTTAGCAACCTACATATACCCCAGCACACGCAGCAACAAACGGAATTTACCAATGACCTGAAACAACTCTTGACCTGTCTTGGGTTGCAAATAGGGGTTAAAATTAGGCAAGAGTTTTAAGTGAGCATAATTTCTTATTGGGCTGCTTTTACATGGAATTGGCGGGAAGGTTTTACAAGTTGCAAATGAATTCTTGATTTACATCCAGCTGGGTGCAGCCTGGTGCCTTGTTTTAAAGGTGAAGAAGGCTCTGTGTGCAAGGCAAGATGAAAATTTGTCTAGTGGAGTCATTAAGAACTTTTCGCCCGCTTGTAAATGAAACAGTACAGGGCATACTGTGTTCTGTTGATTTCAGTGAGAGAGACGACCCTGCTGTGAGAGCAAATCAATGCTGTACTTTTATTTGAAAGAGTCAGTGAAACCTAGGAAATCCACTTGAAATGCAGAATACCTAAGTCAAACTGTGAACAAACACATCTGCATAAGTACATGGCAGAAAAAGCTTCCTACTTGATGTCAAAGTGCTGCAAACAACAGAATCTCTCATTTCTGGAATCCAGTAAAACTGAAGGAGGCAGTTTTTGAACTCAAAAACCCATCAAAGTGATAAACGTACAAGAGTGACGCCTGACCTCATTTAATGTAAGGAAACCTCGTATATCTCAATGGTGCAGGTCCCTTGTGAAAGGTTGTTTTCACCAGGCGCAGTGGCTCACGCCTGTAATCCCAGAACTTTGGGAGGCCGAGCTGGGCAGATCTTGAGGTCAGGAGATCGAGACCATCCTGGCCAACATGGTGAAACCGGTCTCTACAAAAAGGAAAAAAAAAAAAGAAAAAGAGCAGGGTGTGGTGATGCATGCCTGTAGTCCGAGCTACTCCAGAGGCGGAGGCAGGGGAATCGGCGGAGGCGTTTGCATTGAGTCGAGATTGCACTATTGCACTCCAGCCTGGGCAACAGAGCAAGACTCCATCCCAAAAAAACAAAAACGGAAGGTTGTTTTCAATTTATGTTCAATACAGTTTAGTCAGCTATTTAATAGTTATGTTATTGTCATAAGCTGACACGAAAGTATTTATTTGTGCAGAAAGATGTTTTATGAAATTGTGTTTTCTTCCTTTTGTTTCTGCCATTGGAACATAACTTTAATGTTATTCACAGTTCCCCTAGAAACAAGAGGCACAGCACGCCACACAGGGCCACAGCAGGAAGCACCAGTTGCAAACGGGGAGGGGAAGGCATAAGCCACAGTCTTTTTTTAAAAAATTATTTTCGGGGTCCAAAGTGGCTCCCACCGGAGGTCGTGGCGCTTGCGAAGGCGAGGTCATGAGTTCAAGGCTAACCTGAGCAACCTTATAAGCTCAAACTGATTGGCCAAAAAAAAAAAAATATATATATATATATAAAATTTTAATTTTTTATTTTATATATTTATTTTTTGAGATGAAGTCTCACTCTTGTCCCCCAGGCTGGAGTGCAATGGTGTGATCTCGGCTCACTGCAACCACAGCCTCCTGGGTTCAAGTGAATATCCTGCCTCAGCCTCTCGAGTAGCTGGGACTACAGGTGTGCATCACCATGCCCAGCTAATTTTTGTATTTTTAGTAGAGAAGACAGGGTTTCCACCATGTTGTCCAGGCTGGTCTTGAACTCCTGACCTCAGGTGATCTGCCCACCTTGGTCTCCCAAAGTGCTGGTATTACAGGCATGAGCCACTGAGCCAGGCCTACTTAGTTTTTGAGACAGAGTCTCCTTCTGTTCCCCAGGCTGGAGTGCAGTTGTGCAATCTCAGCTCACTGAAACCTCCTCCTCCTGGGTTCAAGTGATTGTTGTGCCTCAGCCTTCTGAGTAGCTGGGATTGCAGGCGCCCGCTGCCACACCCAGCTAATTTTTGTATCTCTAGTAGAGGTGGGGTTTTACCATGTTGGCCAGGCTGGTCTTGAACTCCTGGCCTCAAGTGATTCACCCGCCTCAGCCTCTCAAAGTGCTGGGAATATAGGTGTGAGCCACCTTGCCCAGCTAACAGTTTTTTTTCTTTTAGTTTTTTGTTTTGTTTTGTTTGAGACAGAGTCTTGCTCTGTCACCAGGCTAAAAAGCAGTGGTGCGATCTCGGCTCATTGCAACTCTGCCTCCTGGGTTCTAGCAATTCCGCTGCCTCAGCCTCCCAAGTAGCTGGGACTACAGGCACATGCCACCACACCCGGCTCATTTTTGTACTTTTAGTAGAGATAGGGTTTCACCATGTTGGCCAGGATGGTCTCGATCTCTTGACCTCAGGTGATCCGCCCACTTCGGCCTTCCAAAGTGCTGGAATTATTATTATTTTTGAATAATGCTTTCTTAATGCTAATGATTGTTACTTGTAAATATTCAATTTCATAATGTGCTTTTTTAAAATTTGATCTTTGTTCTTTGTACTTTTATGTATTATTTGAAATTATTCTAATAACCACTGTTCTATTTGGTACCAGTTACAGAATACTAGTTTTAAGAGAAGAAAAGTAAAGATTCACAAGGTAAATATGCCAAGATGCTAACACTAGCTAATTTGAGGAGGTTGGAAAATAAACAGTTTGCTGCTGCTTTGAACTTTTCTGTACTTTGAAAATCTCCAAAACTTAAAGTGGCTGTACTTGGTGAAAAATAAACTCTCTCCTTACTGAGACACAATCCTTGGTACATTAGTACTACAGATAATACTATACCGTATTATCTCTGGGCCAGGTCTGCTGGCTTATGCTTGTAATTACAGCACTTTGAGAGGCCAAGGCATGTGGATCTCTTGAACCCTGGAGTTGAGAGACCAGCCTGGGCCAAGATTGCACTCCAGCCTGGGTGACAGATGCCTTCATGGCATGTTTGCTCATGTTCCATTGGCCAAAACAAGTCACATGCCAAGACTAGATCCAAGAGGTAGAGAAACATTTTCCCCCTCTTAATGGAAAAGCTGCAAAGTCATACTGAACAGCGGCCTGCATATAGCAGTGGGACACATTTGTGACCATTTTTTGCAGTCTGCCACAACAAATCAAAATATATCCTTGTTTAGTGGAAACATAAAGCAAGATACTTACTGGGATCTCTTTTAAAAATAATTTTTTTAAGTTAATTTTGGGAATGTACCTTTAACTTCCATTCCAAGAAATTTAATAGTGGTTAAGAAAATTTTTAAATCACTATCTACCCAGCAATCGTCATAAAAGTAGCATTTTAAAATTAAAGAAAACACAGAAAACTATAAAAACTAAGATAAAAATTATCACTAAACTCAATACTTAGAGATACTAGTTCAGTATATGTTTTTTATATAAAAGCATATTTTTTTTTCTACTTTTTTTAAAAAATATACTTTAAGTTCTGGGGTACATGTGCAGAACATACAGGTTTGTTACACAGGTACACACATGCCATGGTGGTTTGCTGCACCCATCAACCCATCATCTACATTAGGTATTTCTTCTAATGCTCTCCCTCGCCTTGCTCCCCACCCCCTGACAGGCCCTGGTGTGTGATGTTCCCCTCCTTGTGTCCATGTGTTCACATTGTTCAACTCCTACTTATGAGTGAGAACA